CTGTGTTCTGTTGCAGTAACATTTGTCACATGAATTGTCTTCATGAACTCTACTTTTCACTTCCTTTTTTTTTTTTTTTTAAGATTTTATTTATTTGAGGATAGAGAGGGCACAAATGGGGGGTGGGCAGAGGGAGAGGGAGAAGCAGGCTCTCCACTGAGCCGGGAACCCGACATGGGGCTCACTCTCAGGACCCTGGGATCATGACCTGAGCCAAAGGCAGCCGCTTAATCCATTGAGCCACCCAGGTGCCCCTACTTTTCACTTCCTTATTAACTGTTTAGCCTTCTACCATGTTTTATTTTCTCCTTAGGTGATCTTATTGATTCCATAAATACCACAATTGTGTAATGACCCCAGGTTATCTCTGAGCTCTAGATTCTAATATACAATTGTCCACTTCATGTTTTCACTTGATATTTCATAGGTACTTAAAAACTCAGCATGTTTAAATTCTTGATTCTTCCTGTTCTACTCCATCTCAGAAAATGTACTACTATCTTTTTCAAATCAGAAGGGTACATACCCTTCATTTTTTTTCTACTTCTTTCATTTAATCCATCAGCAAGACCTGTTGACTCAACGTCCAAAATACATCTGCTTTTCTTGCCTGCTTCTAATTCACAAAGCAGGAAAAGAGATCTTAAAAGGCAAATCAAGTTATTTCTCTCTCCTGTTTTGAGCATAAAATCTAAACTCCCTGTGACCCAGGAGACTTTGCGTGACCTGTTAACTTTTTATCTCTTCAGCCTCCCTCAAAAGTTTCTCTTTGCATATGGTGCAAATGCCTCTTTGGCCTTTTGGTTACCGTAGTGTTCTGTGTTCTTTCATGCCTTTGTGCTTTTGGACATGCTCTTCCCTGCCTGGAATGCTCTTCCCCTCCATGGGTATGGTAGGTTAATGTCCTCTCAGATGGGTTTTCCTCGCCTACAACCTAAGGCTTGTCTCTCTCATTTTCACCATTTGTTTGGTTCTTTTGTGTAGTATCCAATTTGTAATTTGTCATTTTTTAATTGGTTAAATTCAGCCTCAACTAGAATATAAGCATCAAGAAAGCAGGGACTTTGGCTTTATTGTATGTGATTATATCTCGATTGCCTAGCAGAGTACTTGGCCCTAGGGAACTCCATAAGTGTGATGAATGAATGGATGGATGGATGGTACATGAGTAACAGACTAGAAGTGGCCCTAAGAGCATCCACCGTCCTTAGGTTCCAGCTTTGACCAATAATTATTACTGATGTAGATGACCTGAGTTGCCCAATAAAAAGTATAATTATAAGTGCAATCCATTTTAGAAAAATGGGTTCACAAAAATGAGATTAAGCAAGTTCGAGTATATTTAAGAAGAAAAACCTGGAAAATGTAAGAATCTTAAAATATTTTGTCATTATAGTGTTCTAAAAGTAACTTAAATTTTCCTATCCTAAGCATTCTTTCACTTATTAGCAATAATTAGTAATTTCTCAGAGCGAAACGACTAGTTTTAGTCTTTATAAGTGAGTTATTGCTTAAGTGTTCTTCTAAATGTTATGCACTCAATCCTCATCATTCATGCACTCTGTATTTGTGATTTATGTACTTGCTGAAGTTCATTTGTAACCCCCAAATTCATACTTGGGATGCATTCAAGGTCATTCAAAGGTATCCAGAGTGGCAAAAAATTTTAGTGGCCCAATGCCCATGTTCCCAGCTGAGGCCTCGTTTCACCTTTCATATTGTAAACGAGTGTGCTTTTCATGGTCTATTTAGCATCATGTTCACATTTTAGCTTTTTTTGATTTTACTGTTTAAAATGGCCTCCAAACATAGTGCTGAAGGGATGTCTAGTGTTCCTAAGCACAAGAAGGCCATGATATGCCTTATGGAGAAAATTTGCTAGAAATACAGAACTCAGGAAAATACTATACTTAAGATTACAGTTATTAAGTAAGCTTTGTTTAGGCCTGGGTTATAGTGCTGTTGGCTGTGAATTAAATGTTTAATGAATCAACAGTATATGTTAAATAAGGTGTCTGTAAACATAAACACACATAAAACAAGGTTTTGTATTGATTGGTTGATGAAAATGTTGTGACCAGAGGCTCGCAGGAACCTAACCCTGTATTTCCCCTAGGAGCAATGTTCAGTGTTCGCGGCGACTTTATAGAACATAACTACCGCGAATAACAAGAATCGACTGTAAGTTAAAATTCTGGACTTAAATCGAAATTTCAGGAAGTGCCTCCTCACCCATGTTTAATTACAGTTTAGAGACTTTTTGGTTGGGATATATATTTTATTTTAAAACCTTTCAACTATGAGGAGAACTGAATTCATTTTGGTTCAGTGATTCTTTTTGAGCACTTACTATATGCCAGTAACTGTACTAGTTTTGAAGTATACAAAAACAAGTCATAAAATCTTCACTCCCAAGAATCTTTCAGTTAGGGGAGTATTTCTTTTTTTTTTTTTATAAAGACTTTTTATTATTTGGGAAAGAGAATGAGAGACAGAGAGCACGAGAGGGGAGAGGGTCAGAGGGAGAAGCAGACCCCCTGCTGAGCAGGGAGCCCGACGTGGGACTCGATCCCGGGACTCCAGGATCATGACCTGAGCCGAAGGCAGTCGCTTAACCAACTGAGCCACCCAGGCGCCCGGGGAGTATTTCATTTTAATCCAACTAGTCTGATACCAACTGCAATTTAATTTTGACACTGCCTGGAGTTAACATAGACTCCATGGGTTAAAGACAAAGTTCTCTGTAAGAATGCCTAGGCTTCCAGATGCCAGCTGCAAGTTCTTGGAATCCCCAGGCCACCCATACTTTTGAAAACTGGCTACTGGCTACAAATTGGGGCATTTCTATGACACCCCTCATGTTCAGTAATTTGCTAGAACAACTAGAACTCAGGAAAGTGCTATACTTATGATTACAGTTTTATTATAAAGATGGTAGAGGAAATAGGTTTGGGAAGAAGTGCAGTTTCCATGACCTCTCTGTGGAGTCAGGGCATGTCACCCTCCAAGCACATTAGTGTTTTGGCCAGCCAGGATGCTCCTCTGAGCTTCATTGTTGAGAGATATTATGGAGTTTCATTACATAGGTATGATTTTAAATAACTGGACAAACGATTGAACTTAATCTCTAGCCCCCATCTCCTTCCTGCAGATCAGGTGGCTAAAAATCCCAACTCTAATCACATGGTTGATATTTCTGGTGACCATCTACCATTCTGAAGCTATCTGGAGGTCCACCAGGAATCCCCTTGTTTGCATAACAAAGAAACCCCCTATCACTCAGGAAATTCAAAAGGCTTTTAAAACTCTTTGCCAAGAACTGGGGACAATGACCAGATACATTCCTTTTTTACACCACAGGGCAACTTGCCTTATAAATAGTAAAAGGTAAATTAGATGTTTGCCAGATAGGGACATAGATGTTTATAAGCAGATAGAAGAATATATGCAGAAACATCAAGGGATGAACAAATTTATGGAATAAAATGTCATTTAGTTAGAATGTCATGTTCAAAAAGGTAGTTGTTGAATGTGAGTCTGGTAAAGTAGATAATATTCAGATCATGAAAGTCTGTGGAAACAGGTCACAAATCCTATGCACATTTGGGCCTTATAGTGTGTGTTATAACTTTAATGGAAAATTTCAAACATATACAAAGAGTAGTCAGAATAATACAGTGAATATATAATGAATATAATGATCTCCTATGTATGTATCACAATTAACACCTGGTGGTCAACATGTTTCATCTGTGTTCCCCTTCATCTCTCCTCCCCCCAGCATATTTTGTAGCAAATATTACTTCATTCATAGATACTTCTGTGTATATCTTTAAAGTATGTGAGCTTTTATAAAAATAACTATAATCCTATTTTTACAGCTAAAAGTTTTTAACAGTAATTTTATAACATCATCAGATACCCAGTCATTATGCAAATTGCCAATTCTTCAGTGGTTTTAAAAACAGCAAATCAGTTGCTAACATTTTTTTAATTGAGATATTTTACTTTAAAAATTTAGATTTTTTTGTAATTAAAAAACTGGAAGGTTTAGCAATACTAGGTGTATGTTTCTCCTTTATAAAAACAGGGCCTTGATGAAAGTCTTTGCCTAGCTGCCTCCTCACTGCTTTACCTTGTGAAGACTCTTGGAAAGGATTTAAACAGGCATTTACCTTGATAAGATTTGCACTATGGAAAGATAACTAAAGTTGGGATCAGAATGCATTTAGGAGAGTGTCCAGGGAAGACAAGGACTCCAGTTAAAGAACAGAATTAATGATATGTGGAGAGGGTGCATTGAAGATTAAACTTGAATATCAAGTTTAGGTAGTTGGTAGATAGGAAATTCAGGTGAGACAGGGAATTGAGAATGAGCAGGTGCGTGCTTGGGAGGGAATAAGTGATTTGTTTGGGTCTTTTGACGGTGTGGTGGAGGTGAATACACCCAGTTATTGGGGCCCTAACTTAAAGGGTTTTGTAAATACGATTTACTCTTATTTTTATATATATAAAGTTTTAGAATTCTCCAACTAAATTAAAGGAGGGGAGGATAGGAAAGCAAAGCAAAGACTACTTGTAGTTTTAGGGACATTCAAAGGACTCTCTTTAAGACAACTGTCAATTTCTTCTGTGTAAATGAAGGATGGGTGGAGAATTCTAATGTGCTTCCTGCCAGCTTGCCTGCAGAATTCAGTCCATTTACTTTTAATAGTAGGCCTATATAGCCTTAGTATGTATTAATAATTGTCAGTTATAAGAAATACACCTATAAACAGCATTGCAGGGTCTGGCATCTAGTAAGTGCTTGGTAAGTGCTGGATTTGAATCGAAACCCTTTTAAGGCATAAGCAGTAGTATCTTAATTCAGATTAGAGTTTTTCACCTGATATTTCCCTTCAGTCTCTTCACGAATAGGAAACTAAATAAATATTTGTACAATAAATGAATAATTCTGGTGATTTTAATTCCTTTATTTAAAAGGATTCTTTTTTTCTTAGTTTGAGATGGTATCAACATCCTACAGAAGAAGAATTAAGAATTCTTGCAGGGAAGCAGCAAAAAGGGAAAAGCAGAAAAGATAGGTAAGTTATATTGTTGAGCTTATAAAGTGTTAAGTATTTGAGACAATTTATGTAAATATATTTTGTACGTTCGTTAAAGGAACATTTACTGATAATGCTATGCGCATTTGGTAAATTGGAGATTAAAACCCATGATCTAAAATAATTTTGAATTGCCCTTTAAGAAAATCCTGCATTTAGTAATATAATATATGAGCACAGAAATGATTATTTTACTTAAGGATGGTTAATTTTATTCTTTGTGTTTAAAATTATGAAAACAATATAGCCATCATATTAAAACTTGCTGGGGGTTGTCTGGGGAGAAAACCAGAGCCCATCATTTTACCCTATAACTCATTTATCTGTTGATTTGAGTTCTTTTCCAGAATTTACTGTTATTCAGTATTATGAAATTGGGCAAATTTACCTGCTTTTGACCTCTTTTCTTCATTTTTCAAATAAAAAGGGTAGCCAGTATAACTTCGTAGGTCCCATTCAGTTGCTATATATTATATGCGCATTTAAAGTTTATGAAGAAAACTGCCTGCTAATAAACCTCACTGAATGGACCACAGCAGCCTTATCTATGAAATGGAAGAACCAAACATAGTAATTTTGAAGGATCTTTCCAGCTTTAAAATTTTATATCTCTATTTAAATTGAATTCTCAAGTAAAGTACATGATAATTAGCCTCTCTGTATGGACCTTAGTGTCCTCAGCTGGGGAGGACTTCTTAGGACCTGAAACTATGATTCTAATATATTACAAAATGTCAGTGACAACAGATCGTCACCAGATTTCTCATGTGTATCATAAAAATGATATTAACCTGAGCTAATGCATTTGTAGGTGCTAAAGTTTTTTTTAAGCATATTGATTATTTGGCATGAAATTGGAAATTTTAAAAAGACTTTTCTGATCTCGCTAACCATTCTCTTTTACACTTATCATTGCAAATACACCTTAAAGATCATTGGAATATTGAGTGTAAGCCCTCCTTCTCTGTTTTATTTTGAAGAAGCTTTACATGTACAAAGTGATGCCAAAATGGCACTGTCTTATTCCTGGTAGCAATAATTAATATTTGATTTATTGACATGAATTGATATTTTTACTGAAGTTTTTTCAGAATAAATGGAAATTGTTTCTTGGTATTGTAATTAATGCTATTGAAACTTAATTTATTACTTTCTATATATGTGTGAGTGTCTTTAAAAATTAAATTTGGGAATGATAAATGTGCACCTAAAGAATTCTTCTATTTCCCCCATTTGTGATTCAGTAAAAGCAACTCCAAATTAGCCTTTCACATAACTGAATTTCTTATGCACATAAATCTTAATATATTTCTTCAACTCTGACTTGTTTATAGCTACAGGTCTCTTTATACATATGTGTGGACATGTATAATTTCAGAGAGAGATGCATTTTGGTTTAATTTGCTTTTATTCTTGTACCTAAAGAAATAGTTAAATTGTTTCAAAGTGAAATACAAGAAAGGATGCCAGTTCCTTGCCTTTGCTTTTTTATATGAATTTCATGTCACAGAGGAGCCACTTTATCCTCTTTTAGGTATTCTGAGGTTTTCTTCCATATGTTTAAATATTATGTGATAATGGCATTTCTTTAATTTTTTTATTTGCTTTTACTGTTGTACGTAAATGAAAAGATGTTAGTTGTCTTAAAATCTACAGGAGAGAGAGTAGGAGAAATAGGGTGAAATGTTAAACTGGTAATCAAGATTTTGCTACTAATTTAGGTAAATCTTCCCCTGGTAATCTGCATATTCACATAATAATTTATATCCACATTTTGTAGTCTTCCCTTTAAAAACTGCTTTTGTGACTTTTGACTGTTTTACCTCTTTTTTGATGAAATATTAGAAATTCTCCTTCCTTTGTGAAATTTAAAACCCCATTTGTGATTAGTTGATACAAGCACTTGGATAACAGTATAGGTAACTTGCTTTTTGTGTCACTTGTCTGATTTTTATAGGAAATATAATGGTCACATTGAAAGTAAGCCGTTGACCATTCCAAAGGATATTGACCTCCATCTAGAAACAAAGTCAGTTACAGAAGTGGATACTTTAGGTAAGGGAAATCTTGGTAAAGTGTTCTGTAAATCTTAGTTTTATACTATGCTAGTGAAAGTACTTTCATTTTACCTATTGTGGCTAAATTTTTTGTTTGGTTTTTAATCATTAAGTCCATTTTATGGAATCTTTTTCAGAACTTAGAAGCTCAAAATGACTTCATTTGAATTGAATTTCTTTTTCTATTCACCTAACCTGTACTAAGAATTATTTTTCCCATTTTTCAGAAAGGTTGACTTACATGTTTGTTACATACTTTCTGTTTTATGTCGAGATCACAGTCACTTTTCATTATTTCGAATTCTAGACTTCTTGCCAGAAGTGCCATTCTGCTCCTTTTATGATGTGGCTTGCAGAAATGCTTTTGTGTGTTTGTTTTTAATTACCTATACTTAACAGTGATTGAACTTTATGCTCATGCTTAGTAGACAGGGAAGTCGCTTTAGAGCAATGAACTGGATTAGGAATCAGAAAACTTATTTAAGATTTACTTTTACCCATGGGATATTTCTGATAAGTTATGTGGGTTTTCCCCCCTGTATATCAATGATTATAATTGTATAATAACTGTAATGATTTTATATTTAAAGTAAAATTTATGTGAAATTATTTGAATCCTATAAGAGAATGGCATCTAAAGTGATATTAAACACTGGTTTTCAGACCTGATTGCCCATCATCAGAATCCCTTGAGCAGCTCTTTTAGAAAGAAAGATTCTTCATATGTACCCCTGGATATCCAGTAAATCTAGAGTGGGTTCTGGGAATTTGTATTTTTAAAAATGCTCTTAGTGGTTCTGACTTTGGACCAGGTTTGAAAACTAATGGTTTACATGAAAAGTGAGGAATAAAAATAACATATTAAAAAAATAATAATTTTGGGGATGCCTGGGTGGCTCAGTCAGTTAAGCGTCTGCCTTCGGCTCAGGTCATGATCCCAGGGTCCTGGGATCAGGTCCCGCATTGGGCTCCCTGTTCCTCGGGGAGCCTGCTTCTCCCTCTCCCTCTGCTGCTCCCCCTCCTTGTGCTCTCTCTCTTTCTCTCTCTCTGTCAAATAAATGAATAAAATCTTTTTAAAAAATTAAAAAAAGTAATTTTGGTAATGTATAAATATCATATGTAATTTGGCCCTTCTTGGGTTAAATCATAACTACCCCTGGAAAATCTTAGTAGATTCATGTAGCATCTCATATAGAATTATGTAGTGATACAAAATGGCTTCAAGATATTTGAAAGTTGATTCTATATTTACAAAGATTTTTACGTGTGTGTGTATTTTATATATATATATAATGTACTTATATATATATAAAGGGTGGCCTAGAACCCAAAAATGTCAACGAGTAACAGTATAAATCAGTATCATTAAGACTGTTAGGACTGGTTATGTTATCCTCTTTTTTTCTTTTTAACTATTTTTCGTGCAAAATCTAAAACATTTAAAAGCACTTTGACTTTTTGACTGGTTGTCACATTGGTTTTATTAATCTTTTATGTGTGCTTACTTGTATAAAATGTTCACAGACATGTAAATATAAGAATATATGCATAGTCTCCCTGATTTCTAGTACAGAGTTTTGTCATTTTTACTAGTAACGTTAAATGATAATTACCAGCTTATTAACTTTAATAGTAGCTTAAATTTGAGTATCAGGCATTGTTGTAAGTGCTTTACTTTTATTAACCTTCTTCCAGTTCTATGAGGTATGTAACTGTTATTGACCTTTTTTTGCCTTAAACTCATATAGTTAAATAACTTGGTGTGGCTTATTCACCAAATGTGGTAAAGCCAGTTAGAACTAGGCTATTTTAATGAACTTAAAAAGATTAAAATTAAGGCCTTATCACATAGCTTATTCAATATTTTGTTTCATTAGTACAGTTTTGAAACTAACTGCAAATGGTACTAGTTTAACAACTGGCCACATAATTTCAAGAGCAGAATAATGGGGAGATGTTTTATTTATGTTTATGTAATCATTTCTGAATGCATGCTGTGTGTGTGTGTTTAGGTAAAAGAAGAGGGTTTTCTCCCTGAATTTAACATACTCATGAGCTTAAGGCAAACCACTAGGCTTGATGAGCTGTAAGTTTTCTTTTGTTTCCAATAGCCTAATAAAAGACACATAGGTAATTATATTATTGAATACAAAAAGAATATAATATTTGGGTTAAATATGTAGCCAAGATTATGTATAATTTGTACTTCGGTTGAATGTATATATATTATTGGTATCCCAATAAGTATCTTGAAAGTCTGTCTTAATTTGTATTAGCTATCTATTGCAAGAACCTCTTAAAGCACATAAAAATATTTGAAATGTCACTTGGCTGTTTGCTGTGAGTGGATTCCCTGCAGGAAGCCTCTGACTGTGGGCAGCATGGAGAATTGGAGCTTCAGTTATTAATAAAAATTGAAAGCCTTTAGATAAATGGATATTTGTCTACCCAAATGGATATTGTCTATACTACCCATTTCCCTGTCACCTTCTGGAAAGTCATTGAAAAGGGTGATTTTTAGAGGAGAAATGAGGTGACTAACCCTTCGACTACTTGAGGGTAAATCTTTCAGACTGATATTTATAAGCTATTATATTTATCAGGAAAAAAGAAAAAAAAACCTAACAGTTAAAATAACTTGAAGCAAATTAAAAATTTACCCAGTCATGAAAGGATTTGGAATTTTTGCTGGCTTATAGATATGTAAGTTTATTTGGTTAGTTTTAATATTTAAATAAGTCTTACTTTGAGTGGTATTTTCAAAATACTTTTTCTATGGATGCATGATTTTAAAATATCATCAGATATTACATTTTACAACTAAAATTTTTCCATAGTAATGTAGATCATTTTATTATGTACCAGTGGGAACATAGGAATTGATGTTTATGTATGTGACTTATTCCCACATTTTTAGGAGGTCTTCTACAAAATGATGCTGATACTTTGGACTGTACTCAGGCAGTAGTAAACCAGAATATCTGAGATGAAAAGAGAGATAGAATCATATTTACTATCAGGATGCTAATTTTAATGTAAACCCTTTGTTGGAAGGGGTATGGTTTTATGGAAAATTGACAGGCATTTCATCAGCTTTTCTTGAAGGAACACAAGCAAGAATAGAAAGTATACTTATATGCTATTTTAGTCTGCATTAACTCACAAAATTATTAATCCTCTGTTAGTGCATGCAGTTAATAACCGTAGCAAAGCTTAACTCTCTTACTTCACAGAAATGAAAAATAAAAGTAAACTTATCTTTGTATACCAAGTTATATCCTCAAGTTAAAGTATCGTTCTTTAGAACCTTAAGAAAAAAAAGTCTTGTGGGGCACCTGTGTGGATCAGTCAGTTAAGTGTCTGGCTTCGGCTCAGGTCATGATCCCAGGGTCCTGGGATCGACCTCCTGTCTGCTCCCTGCTCAGTGGGGAGTCTGCTTCTTCCTCTCCCTCTGCCCCTCCCCCCTGCTCATTCTCTCTCAAATAAATAAATAAAATCTTTTTTAAAAATTAAAATATATTTAAAAAAAAATCTTGAGGGGTACCTGGCTGGCTCAGTTGGTTAAGCGTCCAACTCTTGGTTTCAGCTCAGGTCATGATCTCAGGGTGGTAGGATTGAGCCCTGCATCAGGCTCTGCACTCGGTGCAGAGTCTACTGGAGATTATCTCCCTCTCCCTTTGTTCCTCCCCCTACTCCTGCTTTCTTAAAAAAAAAAAAAAAAAATTAATTTCTGTAAAAAACAGCTAAATCAGCTGAGAAAATACCAACTCATTTTGCAATCATATATTTTTAACAACACTTTAAATAATATTTGGTAACATTTCACGTTCTAAAAAATTATTTAATTTATGACGTATTAAAATTTAATTTTGAGGGCGCCTGGGTGGCTCAGTTGGTTAAGCGACTGCCTTCGGCTCAGGTCATGATCCTGGAGTCCCTGGATTGAGTCCCGCATCGGGCTCCCTGCTCGGCAGGGAGCCTGCTTCTCCCTCTGACCCTCCCCCCTCTCATGTGCTCTCTGTCTCTGTCATTCTCTCTGTCTCAAATAAATAAATAAAATCTTTAAAAAAAAAAAATTAATTTTGAGTGTCAACATTCTCAATCTGTTTCCTGCATTTTTAGATTCATCAAACCTTACATTGCATTTCAACAAATGAATAAAGCTTAGCATGGTTAAAGTTAACTATAGATAAATCCTCCTGAGCTATTTATTTATGAAAGTTTAAGTAAACTTTTTTTTTTTTTGACCTTTATTTTTCAGCATTGCATTATTTTCCAGAATACCAGTGGCTGGTGGATTTCACAGTGGCTGCTACAGTTGTGTATCTAGTAACTGAAGTCTACTACAATTTTATGAAGCCTACACAGGAAATGAATATCAGCTTAGTCTGGTGCCTGCTTGTTTTATCTTTTGCAATGTATCCTTCAAACGTCATTAATACTAATTTATAAGTTTGTGTTCCGTTTGTAGCTAATACAGTTAGATCTCATCTCTGATTTGAAAAAAAATTTAGATAGAGAATTTTTCTTTGTTGAAATCTGTTTTATTTAATAGAAAAACCTTTCCAAGTAGAGGTAAATAGTTTAAAAAGTGAAATACAAGAAAAGATGCCAGTTCCTTGCCTTTGCTCTCTTACGTGAATTTCATGTCACAGAGGAGCCACCTTACCTTCTTTTAGGTATTCTGAGATTTTCTTCCATATGTTTAAATATTATGTGATAATGGTGTTTCTTTAATTTTAGATTATTGCACCTTTCTCCTTGTTCCTTTTCCTTCCTTTCACTTCTCCCAAAATAGTAAGGAAACAACTGTTTTACCAAATCAGTTTTAGTGATACCTTTGAAAATATTATTTATAGCTAAGCATTATATGTTTTACCAACTTCCTTGAACAATTTTTTATTCTTGTATATAGACGCTAAACTTTTTTACAGAATTCTAAACCTCAGTAGTTCAAATACATCATTTCTATTTTGTTTTCCTTTGGAAATATCCTCCTGGAGCTCTCAATTCTGTAAACTTACTGCATAGCTGTTAACCTGGGATTTTCTTCACTGTCTTCCTAAGAATTCTCTGTGCTTCTTTCTGGATCACATCATCTGCTCTTATTTGGTTTACTGTCCTTTGGCAGAGTGCATTCTACGGTATCCTGGAAAGGGGTGCTACAGTTTTTATTTTTGAAATCTTGCATGCCTGAAATGATTTTTTCCTCATACTCAGTTGATGGTTTGGCTCAGGACAAATTCTAAGAAAGAAATAGTTTTTCCTGGGAGTTTTGAAGGTTCTTGAGACACTAGATGCCTTCTTGCTCTTGGCATATGCCTCCCTTTCCCCTCACATACACCCTCTCGATGCTTTTTCTCTTTTGGTATTCTGAAGTTTTCATCATTAATTGGGTTCAATTCTAGGTTTAGCTTTTTAAATCTGGGGACTCATCCTTTTTCACTAGGCTGTTTTTCCCCTTACTTTTATTAAAATTAAACATTTCCTCCTCCATTTCTACCTCTCCACAGATAGCTCCTTTTTGTTTGATGTTTACATGCATATTTCCATGTGGGTACAAAGCTCCAGCTTGCTTTTAGTTTTAGGCTTTAACTGTTAACTGTTGCCATTTCACTCTGTAAATGAGGACTTGGCATATCTGCCTGGCTTGTCATCTATCACTAATCATTTCCCATTCAGCTTGTCTTCTAAATATAGTAATGTCATTTTTTAGAGGAATTTTACTGCTTTTTTTCTTCTCATTCATTGTATTTATGTACTTAAAAACAAATTCCTTTATACTGCCATTTTGGTGGGGATTAGGGAGAGACCAGAAGTCAGTGGATGTACTCAATCTGCTTTTTTTTATCCAGAAGTTTTATATTGACTCTATGATAAAAGTCTGTTTTCTGTCGTCTTTTCAGGGACTCTTCATAATGACTTGTTCTTCCTTTGAATGGTTCTTTAAAATTATCTCCCATTTTCCATTTATTTTATTTTATTTTCTTGATTTTTCTCTTAATTTTTTCTTAACCTTTTGTTGAATTTTTTTATATCAACTTTTAAAAAAATTTTTAAGACTTTGGATGTTCTATTTCCATAATATTCTTGTGTCATGGATGTGTAATATCTTTTTAGTTCTAAGGATATTAGTATCTTTTAAGTTTTAATTTATGCCTTATGTTGTTTATTTTCTGAGTATCCGCCCCCCCACCTTTTTAGTCATTGTCATGTTAGAGATTGTTCTTAAATGTCACATGATCTTTGATTATATTCAAGAAGGAGGCATTTAAAAATTAGAAGCTTTGTACAAGTGGCTGGAACTTGTTGATTGGTGGCCTTTTTTGTGGATGACTGAGTGGGGACCTTACATTATCCTGGGGGGACCTCTTGATACAGTATCTGCAGGTTGTTGGATCTGTCATTTTCTCCAAGCATTGTTCATTCTCTCATCTTTGAGGTGTAAGTCTGACAGCCAGTGTTATGGGTACTGATTGGGGAAGAAGGCTCAGATATCCATCATTTAATGTATAGGCATTAATTTAAATGCATGTCTGTGGCCCCCCTGTGCTTCTTGTTTTCAGGTCTTCATTGTCACCTAAGTTTTGCATGGTACTCCCAAGCCCAGTCTTTGCTGATTTAATATCTTCAAATAGTATTTCTTCTGGGTTCTGCCAGAGTTGGGGAAGGCCCATCACCTAATCTGTATGATTAGGCAAGACAAGATCTGGCAAGTCTGATTACTGCTAATATAGTCATTCAACCTATCATCCTGTTTTCATTCATCCTGCAATCCTTCCTTCAAAGGTCCTCGCTATCTCCATTTCCTGACTTTTCCAGAGCTTATGAATGAGTTAGCTTTCTTTTTACTGGGTTTCTCCCTTTGTTGACCCAGCGTAACAGAGAAAACAGAAGCCTAAATCAGTTATTTCTTGTCCATCTGTAAGTCTTCCAAACTTTTGTTGACATTGCTTTTCTAGAAACTCATTTCTTCCTCTTCTTTGTTTTTGATGGCTTTTAGTTTCTTTGCTATATGGTTTACTTAGTCAGATTTTGGGAGTAAGCAGAATAAATGCATATCCTACATCTTTTATATTCAACTAGAGACTGCTGAACTGTCTTTTAAAACTATAAATGGATACTGTTTTAAATATATGATATGATTTGACATTCAACTTCACTATGCTCCTTGTTGACTCTTTTGGATTGATTTAGGTATAATGTAGACCAGAGGGGCCAGAACAAAGTCTTTAAGAGTTGACATCTTCACCAGGTGTATATTCTGCTGGATAGAAATACTGATCATATGTGTCAGTTGAGAAACATCCCCAGATATCTTGTGCTGTGCTCATTTCAAGAGGGGATTAAGTTGGGGCGCCTGCGTGGCTCAGTTGTTAAGCGTTTGCCTTCGGCTCAGGTCACAATCCCGGGGTCCTGGGATGGAGCCCTGCATTGGGCTCCCTGCTCGGCAGGAAGCCTGCTTCTCCCTCTCCCACTCCCCCTGCTTGTGTTCCTGCTCTCTCTCCTCTCTCTCTCTGTCAAATAAATAAATAAAATCTTTAAAAAAAAAAAAAGATTAAGTTGATAAGCAATTAGAATATTACTTTTTAATTCTATAGTGTTAAATATGTAAAAATACTATGCAGTCAGAATAAAGACCGAGCCGTAAACATTGAGTTACATAAACACACTAAAAATATCTTAACTTGGTAATTAGCACTAGCTGACTACATGCCGTGTTATTTTTTTCATACTTTGAGTTCTCATATTCACTGAAATATTGCTTATTTAGGAATATTCCTCATTTTCATCATGGTTGGTGGTCGGATATTAAAATGGTATTTGTGGTATTATGTGGAAATGCATACTTGATACCCAGTTTTATTTAATGTTCCTCAACCCTTAATACCTATTTACCAGAGAAATTACAAAAATGTACCTCTTAAGAGCTACTCAGATTATTGTTTATGTGAATAAATTTCATCTTTCATTTCATTCAGTAATGCCTAATAATGCAAGAGCAAAGGTCCCACACAGTCTTCAGCACTGAACTGGCTCTGCTTAGTTTTAAGTAGTGCACTCGTGAAATGCTCCAGACAATAGCATCTCTGCGGGAATCTGGTAGCTGGCTGTCTCGCGCCATCCTAGAGAAGACAGAAAGTGCTGAAGGGCTTCAGAATCCAAGCTATTTTCTGCCAACTTTAACCCTCCACAAAGGGGATAGGGAAGAAGGAGGAAAGGAGAATTGTGTATGTTTAGGTATGTGATTTTCCTTCAAACTTGTAGCATGTGAGAAAATGACCTACTGCCTTCAGTGGTATGCAGGAAACCAGAATTCACTGCCAGCTATCCAGATTTAACATCAGGGAGGAGTCTGTTTATAGCCTATCTTTTATCTTAGTTATAACATCTGGTTTGCCTTTCACACCGTATGCACAGTGTATAACTGCAGTGACCTCTGTCTGGCTTCTCTTTATTTCCTTATTGTATGTAGCCTACTTATTAGTCAAACACATGTCTCCATTGATTACATAGGACAATAGCTCCACTTAATTCCAGAGTCACACATACATCAGTTGATTCAGAAATTCTCTGCAGTTGTTACTGATAAAATGTCCTTTGTTAAAGTGGTCCCAGATTTAGACATATATAACTTAAACAACTGGCTCACTTAAAAATGAAGAAGAAAACTGTTTCATTACATGGTCATTTTGTTTTTTTTCTCCCCATCAGTTTTATTTGACATACTCATGTAGGACCACAATTATAACTTATACAGAATCTTGGAAGTTCTAAAAGCCCAGGAATGAGTTTTTTTTAAATGTGTGATGCTGAAATCTTCAACCCTGGTACCTAAAACTGGGCTGTCTCTTGTCATCAGCTCTGCTTTCTGTTTCAACAGAGTTGTACATGGATCTCAGCTATCACACCTTTTGGCCTCACTCCTAAACCCAACCTCATTCTCAGCTTTACTCCCTTGCCTATTTGGAATTCTAACCACCTCTTTGATCAAGTGTGTGTTCCATGTCCATTTATGCTGAGTTACATGGTATGGGGAAGATAAAGGGTAAAGAAAGCCTTAGAGTGAGGATGGAACAGTTGTATTAATTGTCTTTCCTGCATGATGGCATGAAGTCTTAGAGTCACTGGAGAAATATCTCCTGATTTTATAATATGAAGTATATCATTTTCATTTATGAATAAAGGAAAAGCAAAAGGTAAAAATGCTTAAAAAAATTCAGTTATCCTTTGGTGAAAGTAAAACTTTTAAAAATTAAAATACTCTACAAACTATGGATTTTTTTTTTCAAAGAACCTTTTCTTATGAATAAGCTGTATCACAGAGTAATATTGAGTCAATTACGTGAATTTGAGTGAGAAGAAAGCTGTTCTACAAAGAATGATAAAGCTTCTCAGTAGTCCTATTATATTTGGT